CCTCGACCCCTGTGTCTAAGTCTGTTATTCGACCCGCTCATTTTGAACCATGGTTTGAGTTTAGATTCCCATCATCTGACCTAGAAACTATCTGTATTCTTAACTTGAAGCGCTATCAGGTTTCCCGGTCAGACTGGCCTTCCCCAACTTTGTTCAAAGATGTAGGACAATCCTCGTGTTCCGCTTATTTAGAAGTAAGAACGCCCTTCAGAGAACTGAAGTCAATCGTGTTCAGAAAGGTACCGAACCGACTATTCCAGCCACGGGGGCATAAGTCACGTGACTCGGATACTGTCTTACCTTATGTTGCAACGCTTAACTTCGGCGCCTGAAACGTAAGTTGAAGAGTATCAAGCAGGAATTAGACCTGGCAAGTGGTGCATTGTAGGTAGACGTTCAGCTGTAGCACCCTTCCGGTGCCTAGCTGCCATGCCACCCGAAGGAAGCACGAGGGCTGGGATACTGCCAGGTTGCCCAAGCCTAGACAGGGAAGTCGAGTGGCGGAGGTCGGATTCGAACCACGAACCTTCCGGTCAGTAAATTCGCGCTCTAACCACTTGGGCCATCTCGCATTGACCACCTCATTACACTAAGCCAGGTGATTCAGCAGCTCCACACTGATCGAAAAGCGACCGTAAAAGGAGTCTTGGACTCAAAGGATAGACCAGCTCTTCTAAATGTTCTTGGCCAGAGTGGGATAACCTTGAAGTTCGTAGATATTCTTCGCGCCATGTATGGTTATGATCTATAATAATCTGTCTAGAAGCTTGCCCACAAATAGCGGAGTTCGTCAGGACTGTCCTCTCTTCTCTTTTTTCTTCAACTTTGTTATCGACGTTATCACAGAGTGACAATTACAAAGGATCAGGAACCTAAGTATTGAAACCAGGTCCGGAGAGATATCGATAGACTTGGAATGCGCGAACGATAGCTTTTTTTTGCCATTATTTGTCCGCGCAAAGTATTTTATAGAAAATATCGGACGCGGTCACATGGTTTGATGGGAATTTTGAACCTTCACTGTGCAAGATCTTATTTTAGCATTTCCCACCTTTCTATGCATCAGAATAAAGAGCCTGAGTTTGCTTACCGGTTCATCTACCTTTGTTGCACTATAACAGATGAGGTTAACGCGCGGATAACCAAAGCGCAAGCGGCTTTTGCCAACTTCCGTCACTTGTTGTATAAGAACGGAATCCCCCTAGAGCTAAAGAACCGTGTATACAAGATGCCCGTAAGCGTGGTCTTACTTTTCAGTCACGAGACCCGGTCCTTCTCACTCTTGGAACTTGGGTGTCTTCAAACATTTGATCACCGTTATCTCCAGCACATAGCGACGCAACGTAATGGTGAGTAAGCGGGTACGAATCCTCAGGACAGTAGATTGGACCTAAAGTTTGAGGTGGTTGGAGCACGTACCACATATTTCAAACAACCGTCTACCCAAGAAAGCGTTGTCCTCCGTTTCATGCCACTTTTGGAAAAATGCTCGTGGGAGACGTGAAATGAAAGCGGCTACAGTCAGAGTGCTTCACGCTTTTCTACCGGGCTTGGCAAACCTTCAGGGCACACATCCGATTCCAGTAGAGCGCACACTGTCATTTATTAACCGGAACACCTGGCTAAAGTTCGCCTATCTCTGTATGCTGGGCTCAAGTCAGGTGAGATTCGCAAAGATCGCTCGATCAATCCCGCTAATGGTGCATCAGTTCGGCGGATGCTTAAATGTGTCTACTATAGTGCTGGTCAATGGTGTGGATACCTTATTCGTGTCGTACAGCTCCTTTGGTCATAGGGCTTCTTTACACTAGGTCCCCACCACTCACTTTTCTTTCCACCCTTCACTAAGGTTTTCTTTCGTGGTACCGTGGCAGTTGGGAGCCACCATGTATCGCTGGAGGATGATTCCTCATTGAAATGATTTAGCTGGCCTGAAGGAACCTTGTTCAATTGAATTAAAGGTGTTGACTGTTAAACAAAACTGCTTTACCACAGGAACAAATGGGGTCATCACAGCTAGGGTCGTCGAAAGGGTAGTACTGCAGTTGGTGTCAGAACTCTGACCGATAGCTCACTAGAAGCTTGGCAAATGTGTCATGTGAACATGCGAGAGTTGCCCTGCAGAAACGCTGGGGATTCATTACGATAACAGCTGATATGATATATGGCTCCCTCAAATATACAGCTGTCACGTGACGTGAAAGACACACGCTCAAGCGAACCCACCTCAAACGAGGGCTCAAAGCAGAAAAGCAAGCTTTGTGCTTGACTGATAAAGAGTTCTGCAGATCGTGTGGAACCCATTTCAGGAAGATTGGCCAAACCCAGCTGGTCCGAAGATCCAACAGATGGGGCTGCGTAGAATCCAGGTGGGGCATCCGTTGGGTTCAAGGTGGAGACGGTAGTGGAGTTTAGTAGGTTGCTGGGGGTCCGCCGAGGTGGATAATCTACACGAAGAAGAAAAACAGAATTGGATAAAGAGTATGGTAGCGAAAGTAGCCGGTTTAGGAGTGAACATCAATCGAGCATCAGTTTTCAAGGGGCATTGTATCAACTGCAGAATGTCCGAGGGTTACGTTGAAGAATCACTATCGACAGCACATTTATAAACGTGGATACATTGTGCCTTACGTTACTCCACCTGTAGAATGCGTTTCAAAAGGCAGATTGCTAATGAATAACAACTGGTCGAATGATGCCCAAAATAGACCATGTATTATAAACATCCGAGTTTCCTGATCTCCCAGATCAGGGAAGATAATGGAAGATAATCTTGTTACCAAATAAAAAACACTGAATGAGATTATTTAGCAGTATGAAAACACGGCTGGGTACTAGCCATCTAAGCACACGATGCAATCGACACCCGATTATTAAACCAATGTCACATCCAAGCAGGAGGTGCTGTATTGCGGTGAGAACCGCTTCCACCTTTACCTCCGGTTGGCCACACCCCAACGCATGCAGACACGAAACAGCAATAAAATGTCCCCTCCTCGCATCATTCATGGGTCTTCGTCAAAGGGAGGACTCGATCAAGTCTTTAGTGTCATAAGAAAACCGGAAAAATCTTAAACTGAATAGTCATTTTTATGACGGTATGCATGCGCTCGAACCTCTCATTGGTAGCCATTGGCAGAAACACCCATAAAAAAGAGCGTTCACGAAGTGGTCGAGTTCACAACACTTGTGAGTGATCGTAGCGTAAAGAAAATCCTTCAGCTGTAACACCCTTTCGGTACTAGCTGCCAAATCATTCATGGGTCTTGGTCAAAGGGAGGATTCGACCAAGTCTTTAGTGTCATAAGAAAACCGGAAAAATCTTAAACTGAATAGTCATTTTTATGACGGTATGCATGCGCTCGAACCCCTCATTGGTAGCCATTGGCAGAAACACCCATAAAAAAGAGCGTTCACGAAGTGGTCGAGTTCACAACACTTGTGAGTGATCGTAGCGTAAAGAAAATCCTTCAGCTGTAACACCCTTTCGGTACTTAGCTGTCAAGCCACTCAAAGGAAGCCCGACAGCTGGAATACTACCGGGTTGACCAGGCCTAGACAGGGGAAGTCGAGATGCAGAAGCCGGGTTCGAACCAGGGACATTCCGGTAAGTAAATTCGCGCTCTAACTCTGAGGCATCGTAGCGTGGACCAGAAGAACGAGACTAATTACTTTTAGGGATCAGACTCTAAGACGGATCACCGGATATTTACGGCTAGGTGGACAGTATATCCGGAATATGTACGGGGTTTAGGGCTAAACCTGAACATCCTTGTTAAACACAGCTGGACAGACACTGATTGTCACATCAAATACTGTTCACATACCCCGATTTTGGAAAAGTGGTCCTTGTTGGGGAGCAGATAGGCTAAAATTGTCACAAGAATTTGTGCCCATTATGAGAGAGGTTGGTGTTTGACAAACATCGTGCGATCGGAACGATCTGATCGCTTTGGGGAGAATTTTTCGGACTGAAGGAAGGAACCTCCAGATATCGATCGTTTATCCTTCCGACTGGCTCCTCTGCAAGTGGGAGTTGGATTCGACCTAATTATGCGATAGTACTATACATGATCGCGGTGTGGAACACATATTCAGGAAAGGTAACACGATTTGTTGATTTAGAGGGAGCTATTCCTTCTCTGCTGGAGTAAATTCTGTAAGCTACCAATATGTCTCGTCGGCCAGGTGACTTCGAAAGTTCATAGAAACATTTACTAGGCCTGACAGTATTCTAGCCCTTTTGCTTCCTTCGGGTTGCATGACACCTAGGTGCCGAAAAGGTGTTACAGCTGAACAAAGCAACAAAATCAACTCACATATAGACTGTGTAACCACGTTGGTTTCGTCCACAACCGGTGGCGGTTGTACGGCCAACACTCGATCCCGACTGACGGCATGGGCTAAATTTCCCCGTGGACTGAAGGCAAGGGCAACTGGAGAGGCGCTTTCCGCGGGGCGAACACCATCTGCCACACAGTGGCGGATAAGCAGGCCATCACGTCCGACAGTGTAGAAATAGTCTGTTTCGGCAGGACACCATGATATAGCTGGAAAAGCAACAGAGAAGAAAAAACGGTTCAAGAGAGGTGAAATGAAAAAAAAACATAGGATCACAAGAAACGGAGGGCGACTTTATTGGCTTGAAGAGCCGAAGCGATGAAATACAGGGCGCGAAACAATTATAAAGCCAGTCGATACTTGGGATGATTTGACAAACCTGTCGGATTTTCGAAAATGAGTGCATCAAATTCACAGGACAAAGGAGAAAGGCAATGACATGAATGTGTAAAAAGAGAGACAGAGACAAAAGTACAGCGAACAAACAAAAAACGTACACGTTACGATGCTCTTGTGTTCCTCAAATGCAGCGTACGGAAGATAGGGTCTTTTAAGATCCCACAGGTAGGCACTGAGGTCGAATGTTTGATTGCAACTGGAGACTAGCTGAGTGGGCTGCAATCAATGAGTAAATAAACTGGTAAGTTGGAAGAACGGAACGTAAAACATTGATAAGTTCAAAACAGTTCGAAAAGTATGCGGCACTCCTCAGCTGAGTTCTCGGTTTGAACGGCAAAAGAGCAACCAAAGACACACAACGTGTATTAAACGCAAAATTCCAGGCCAAATGTACAGCGAGTTGTATTCAAAGTGAGACGATAACGTTCTGGGAATTTCGACGCATTCTGTACGCGCCATCGGCTACTTGCATTTGGCAGAAACCGAATCATGATTGGCTGCTGGGACCACACTTTCGGCCAATAAGAGCTCGCCTTGACGCTGGACCGGCAAGTGATCAATCGCGTGCGGGTTAGGTCTAGCTGTAGCAGAGCTTAACTGTGAGCGGTAGAGCGGTGTTGGTTTGGGACTGTGTTTGACAGTTTGGTTTCTGGAACAGGCATTTCCTTGCATGTTACTATGAAGATATGAGTCTTCAGTTTATGAGCTCCTTGTTTTGGACTAGGCATCGTACTTGGCATGGGCCATCAAAGCGTGCGCATTCGTCATTTTTCGACTATTTTAACGGAGGGTGAAACCTTGATATCTCCCAAAAGTGAACATATGTGCAAAGGACTCCTTCAGTAAAACCATGTGGCTTTTATCAGATTGAACAAACAGTGTGAGCTGCGGCCAATCACAGACGCATCATGCGACTTGACTAAGATTAGTTAAACTTTATCCATTCCTGACACCTTTCGATGAGAGTACTAATAACTAATAACAATCACCGTGCCGCCCCAAGGAAGCACGAGGATCAAGATACTGCCAGGTTGCCAGAACCTAGAGAAGAGCAGCCTAAATGCCAGGAATGTGTTCGAACCACGGATCTTTCAGGGAGTGAGGTCGAATCTAAACTACTGGTCTACTTCGAGCTCGGTTGAGTATGTAATGTATCACCACCTGGAAGTTGGACTGATTTAAAGGGACAGCGACTTACCAGGCGATGTGACTCAGTCATTCAAAGCTAACCGTCATCTAATCAAGCGTTTGAACTAACTTGGTCTTCATTCGATTCACTATAGAGAGGTGGACGGAATTTGTGTCGGCAACCCTAGACAAGCTAGTGACAATATTCCCATCAGTATGGACAACATGGCTCTAGAAGTAGGTAGTGGTGTTTAATTGCCAAATGACCCTAGAAGAACAACATCTGATTAGAATAAAGGAGACGGGATGGATCGCAAAAAGGTTCCATGCCTCAAACACTTTTAAAGAATAGTCAAACAAACTATATGAACATCCGATCAAAATGCGACGTCATCAGCACAATTAACCCAGCTTCATTCGTGAATGTCGTTCAGCACAAATCCAGTGCACAACGACAAACAGTTTGGGTAGGTATGAGGTGACAACACACTCACCATTTGGATAGATTATAGGCCATGTTTTTCGGGTTTCCAACCACGTGCAGACAAGATCAAATGGATTCCAACCATAGGGTGCCGAAGATCCCACTAACTAACACATCGAATCGCAATGTCCTGGCCGATACCCAACGAACCTTCCGCAAACTTGGGCTCGAGGTGAAAAGTAGTTTTCTTTCGTAGTCATAATAATCTTCATATGACATTCTAGCAATTTCGAATGACTAGCTAGCGCTCGCTTACGGACACGTCTTGACCAGCAAATGCCAGCCACCGATGACTATGCGTTTGCAAACGTTTGAGATCGTCGTATCAAGGAGGTCAACTCTCGACAATGAATTACGGCTGCTCGGGTTTTTTAGACCTCGGATCCAGTGAGATCTGTTCCAGACACCCAAAATGCTACGAATGCTGCGAATGCAGCCCCGGCCTTGACCATGAGTGTATTGACTTCATCATCGAAGGGTTATGAAGATGCCGCGATACGTTAACCAACCAACCAAACAACAAAGGTTGCATCATGCTAACAAGGGGGGGTGTAAGTGTTGCAAATCAGCTGACCGTTCACCGGTACTCAAAATGGAGAGGAATATCCCTTTCTGAAAACCTATCCACAAATCATACCACTATACAGATGATGCAGCAATGACAATATGGATTCTACCGGGACGCCTTTTAACTTTGAGTTCTCACCACGACATGTGCCCATATCACAAGCTCACCGTCTAATGAGATGGTAACTGAGTAACCACTAATGTAGCCGACAGTGCTTTGAAGGCTATGCGAATGTCACAGTTTTTTGGGAATCTCGCGTATTTTGATCGAAGAAAGGTACAAGGTTGTATTCAGCGCGCATGCGGTGGTCCAACAGAGAAAAAATTAGCCATATGAACGCAGACACTACAGATATCCGGTGAAGAATGTATTTTTGGTCTGCTGAAGCATGAGTTAAACTCGTTTCGCAGATCAGTGAGGTGGTTCTAACATGGACCGTGTGCGTCGTAGAGGCCAAACAATGAAGTGACTCTCTGTCCTCCTTAAACAAAAGCTAAATGTCGCATTCATCCCAATCAATCAACCAATCAACTGCATGCGGAAAGTCATATGAATCATTCTACATCTTTTTACCCTTCTCAATGAGTCAACTTTGGTCATTTCTCCATTCATGAATAACTCTACAAAGGACAGCATGATAGTGTTCCTTGGATCAATATGCACAGATAAATTAACTCGCACCCTCCTTCCGGATACGTTTCCGTTCCGCCTTCGGGAGGTGTACGAAGGTTGCTCAAATAATCTTGTTTGTGCACCTAAAGCTCCGCAGCATAGACGATCAATGGGGCGAAACCCAACCGTGATTGAACTGCTGTCACCTTGCTTCAAGTGGACAGCGCGGAGAATTGCCGTGATCTGCATTCTGTTCCACCAAGTCATACTGTGCCCATCGCTTAATTTACACCAGGTCGAACTTGGTGTGCCTTCCTTAGTAGCTAGTAACTCGGCGCGTACCACATGACCGATGGAACGCAGCTTCACCAAACTAATGCTTCTTAAAAGCTCCTTCCACATTAGTCGATGCACTTCTATGGCTCTGAGATCGATGATTGAAGACCTGAAAACGCATCACTTCCAGCACGGTCGACTCCCGCAGCCACAAAACTTCTCACACCGTAGTCTTATATTCTCGACTTAATAGGTCAAGGATGGCTTCGTACGTTGTCCAGAGACTTCATGAAGTGCAATCTGTCGGACTGTTGCAAACTTGATATGGAAAGGTATGAATAACCCTCGGAGCACCTAACGTGCAATCTGTACATTTCTATAAAACGTGCTAGTTCCTATTGAACTTAAATGGAATTCCATGGGATTTCCAAGCACATTAAGACACATCGCTTGCACCAACCTCAAGTTAGTCAAGTGGACGAATTTGGTGCTTCCAAGAAATTTAAGGAAAAGAAACTTACAACTCCCGGTCTCCATCGAACCCGACTGACATTGCTTGTGCGAACTGTGTAGACCACTGGCGGACAAGCAGATTGACCAGAAGGAAGCTGACTGAAATTCCAAACTTTGATGAGATGGTCCACAGCACCCGCAGTGGCTAGCCAATTTCGACTAAATGAGAGGAGGGACAAGGGAATCACAGTTGCACAACAATTTGAGTGATCTATAATCGAAGCTACATGACTCACCTGATTCCTGGCCAACTTGGAAGCCAATCAAGAGACGCTATGGAACAGGAGTGTCCCTGGAAGGCAAGGTATGGACGACCAGATTGACGAGTGTCCCAGATGGACAGTGTGCCATTCTCTTGAGCTGCAGCAAACAGATAACTGTTACGAGGGCAGTAGGTGACATCTCGAACTGGGCTAGGTACAGCCGCGCGTTGAATGAAAGTTCGAGGTGATGTACCGGGGTTGGATTCGCGAGTGTCCTACACATGGAGCAATCAGGAACAAGAAACTTTTAACCTAACCACGATGACTCCGAAGCAGCAAACAGGTGTGCGGGGTTACCAGAATAAACAAAAGGTGAGGTCGGCGGAATGCATATTGAGAAAGTATCGGTCAATAGTAACGCGGATTTGAGGGACCATCCTCCAGCCCATCAACTGAAATAAAAAATTAAATGAATAGTTCAGCTTTAGCATCCTTTCAGTGCCTAACTGCCACCCGAAGGTTGCACGAGGGCTAGGATGCTGCTAGGTTGTCCAAGCCTAGACAGGGGAAGTCGAGAGGCACAGGTCGGGTCTGAACCGTGGACATTCCGGTCAGTGAATTCCCGCTCTAACCACTTGGACCATCTCGCCCATCAACTGAGCTGTGCACTGAAATCCAACCCAAGTTTCGATCACCCAATTACAAACGTTCTCTACCTGTCACTATTGGAAAGATCGACCGACGCCAGGTGGCGCCCAGCCAGTCGGGTAGTGGACCAATCAGAGCCCTCAAATAAGGCACATAAGTGCGGCACATTTAATGTGATAAAAAAAACCTGATTTTGCATTAATAAAAGATTCCCCTGGAGTGAAGTGAGTTCTTTTTTTTATCAATTTTCAGGAACACAACCCACCATAAGCGGCGGCACCGGTACTGAAATAAACAAGCAATGGAAGGACGGTGTAAACTCCTGGACGCACAGGCAATTGGAATCCGACTACGGGACCCACAAGTCTGCTCCTAAAAGAAATGTGCACGACCCTTGAACTTGAAGTGATCACAAACTCCATGTAATTTGTTGACTATATGACCTATTGACCTTTGTTTCTTTTGCACGCTTTCTCATGTACGTAACCCTGAATCTGCTGAGGGTCATATACATTTTCATGTACCACCCAAAAAAAGCTTTGTTCTCTGTCTTTGTCTTAGCGAGAATTCGACGAGTATCCACCATCGCCCGATAATTTACTCCAAGCCGTTCACATTCAAACCTCAGAACTCAGTTAAATTGGGAAAGACGGTAAGGAGAAATCTTGGAAGCCCAAAAGCTGTTCTGTCACTAAATCACGCATGATGAAATATGAGGTTGTGAATATATTTAACGATTCGTGGGATATGTACTGCAGATCAGCAAAGAAGAAGGGGAGAAATCTTGGAAGCCCAAAAGCTTTTCTGTCGCTAAATCACGCATGATGAAATATGCGGTTGTGAATATACTTAACGATTCGTGAGATATGTACTGCAGATCAGCAAAGAAGAAGTACGAATACGATGCTTCTAGACCTTCCAGCATAGGTACAACTAACTAACTGAGCAAAGTAACACCATGATATCTAGTCGGAGATGCAACAAGAGCCGAGAAGCGTTTAAATATACAGCGAATAGTGAAACAACGTACGAACAGATTAAGTTTCCCGTCTTGCGAAGCCGTTAGCAATTCCCATGGATTGGTTGGATGGAACATGAGACAATGGATGGAACGGAGGTGTCCACAAAACGACTTGACTGAAATACACGAGATAAAGTGTTAAGCTACAGGAGATTGGATGTGAACAAGAAGGAGGCGGAATTCAGCAACCAGAAGAAAATGAAGAATTTTCTTTTTTCTTTTTGTTTGCCGAAGAAAACAGATCGTAATCACAGTGGGGCACAGACTTCTGCGAAGTAATGCATAGGTCCACATACTGATAAATGGCTGGCACCCGAATCAGATTTGCCGGTCAGTGCTGATTATACCACTGGAAGCCTAAGCGCTGAGCGGTGTACGCACACTAACTCGACAATAATAGATTAGTTTTCTGGGATTCAACACACACGACCAGGGCATTTAGGCTCCCATTTTCGAATCAAACAGACCAGTATTTGATTTAACATGCGTGGTTGGAAGGAAAAAACAGATAAACAAAATAAGGAAGTATCGCATTTTCCACAGGAGTGTCACGAATCGACTTAAATCAACACATGGAAGGCACACCTGTAGCCGCTATCACTGTCTTTAACTGTAAACCAAGTATATGTTGCAGAGTCGCTATAGCTGCCACAGTTCCGTACACCAATGATCTGGGAGCATAAGGGAGCAGAGTTACGCATTAAAGGAAGAATCCGACGTGACTCAAGTGTGAATCCTAAAGTGGAAGCTGAATTTTCACTGGGGAGACAGTGGAGGGAAGATATGCGTTGACATCAACAGCTTGGATGTATGCGTGCCATTGAGTGCACGGCTGTACCACATCTGTCAATATCTCTAAATACTGATTTGTCCAATCTATGGATTGCCATTCAAGGAGACGACAATAACCAGCGCAGCTGAGGTTGCTGATAATGGCTTTCATACTTCATTATCACCTTGTCTGTCAGTCGTCGAGTACACGATGCTGCAGTGCGCTCCATACAGTTGTTCGTAAGAGACCTCGCTGCCGCTAGCCGAAGGCGCTAAAAAATTTCAGTGCTTGACTACTGGTGTCTTCGGAACATTTCTCAAATCTGATGGAGACTCAGGTAACAGTGTTGGAGTGAACCGATTAGTTTTTAGAGCAAATAACCCACAAACTGTAGGTGAGCCGAGAACTGTTCACGAGTTGCGATGGCTTTGTCATATGCTTCGAACGTCAGTGGATCGACTTGCCTGAAGAGCCGCTTCGAACAATTATACGGCGGGTGAAAACGAGCGAGGGAACATCAGAGATGTAGGAAAGATATTACCAGCAAACTTATTTGCACTGCTCGTTGCCATCTGCCCTTGGCTTGCTTACACCCTTCGCGTGGTTATGCGAAAGGAGTTATTCGAAAAATTCGGTCAACTGGCATATGCAGCACAATCTATGGGGTGGGATCAGCTCATTCATATTTCTTCCGAAAACCATTCGATTTACTTCGGCGTTACCGATCTGCTGTTCTAAACAGACTTGGGCAATGCTCTGAATACACCGGTGGGCAAACACTGAAAGTCTATCAGCGTCCTCAGTGCATAGTGACCAGAGTCCTGAACCAAATAACACTATGGAGCGTATCACAGCATGGTAGACTGGATCCTTAACAGAAAAGCTGGTGTCAAGCCTGCGTCACAGGCGATCTAGGTTGAAAACAGCTGTTATGGCCTTTCCGATCTGATGGAAATATCATTCCTGGCTAGACCTCTGAGACCGGCGCAGCTGACCTGGTGGGCGAATTTGTCCTCTACCTCAATCGGCTCACCCGTAAGCACGAAATCGGGCTTTGAATCCACCTAGTCTCGCAACAGCCTTTTGCAGGTGTGAAGCGTATACCAAACTATGAGACTGGATTTGGCAATACTGTCTACATTACAGTGGTGTCAGAACCAGACAGACCCAGGTCATCTGCGTACTCGACATCTGTGAGCGTTTCGACTCCGCAGGTATTAGAGGCTGTAACAGAGTCTATTATGATCATAGTGATGACCAAGTTAAATAGAAAATGTGAAAGAGGACATCCTTCCGAGACGTTTGACGTAGTGAACTCAGGCGGTAGCTTACCGTTGACTTTCACGCATCCATGGCTTTTGGTGTACAACATCCCAAGGAATCTATGGGGACATCTTTGTCCCATAGACCACAATACAGTGCCTGACGATCCACAAAGGGAGCTTTCTAGCCAAGAAAAACAACCATTATTAGTTACCAGAAGTAGTGTCAGTGTTTCAGGATCTGTAGGAGGGTGAAAATCTGATCGATGCACTCCAGTGCAGGACGGCATCCGGCTAGGTTTTCACGGACCTGCTTCTCTGTACTCAGTCAAATTTCGAGAGATGAGACTACAAAGCGCCACAGTTACCAGGCGAATGCCACGATGGGTTTAACATGGTATTCGCGTACTCTTTGTGATGTGCCCAATTCTTCGGGTGTTTCCTCTTCACTCCACAGAGCATCAAGAAGTTTGGGATGAGTGACAAGAGATTCTCTAGCCTCTTTGAAGAGGGCTGGATACAAGCCATCCGGTCCTGATGTGCCTACTCACGCTTTCGTACTCTAAATCTTCCTTTGGGGGACAATAAAGTCTCACATTCCATTCGTCCGCATTCACTGCCTCCAGAAGCCGTGTTGCTAAAGTCCAGCCAAACTGTTCTTCGGAGTGTTCGGTACATCTGCACAGTCGGCGTTTTTGTGGATGAACTACTGAGCCGTCTTCTTCAAATATCGTTTTACTGACGGGTGCTTTAATTTGTCCATCCGATGAAAGTAAGTAGTATGGTAGTATGAAGATTGGTAGGTAATACGGGGGGTAAGGGCTATGTTTAAACCAAAAAAAATTTGGGATGTATTGGTGATATTACTCCACCACCGTTCCCGTAAGGTATTGTAAGTAAACGGAAAGTGAACCCTAGCGCGACGTCGTCTTTTCTATTGTCGCACTAAGCGAGAGTGGGGCTTAAGGGGATGAGCACTTAAGCAATAAAGCATGCATTCTGGGCAATACAAATGGCAAGCGAAAGAGAGGTGAAGTGGGAAGAGACAAACCTACGTTGCGTGATAGCTGAACCGACTTCCCAAAGCGTTATCGCACCATTACTCGAGCCCGTAGCAAGCACATCTGAAAAGAAAGGAGGGGATGAACAATCGTGTTGGAACTTACTATCTGCACAAGACCAGGTGACATCGGTCACACTATGAGCCCGGGGACAGGATACTTGCGAAGACTGAGCCGTCAGTGGACTGCCCAAAGATGAGTTATGATCTAGGCCATTAACAACTGAATCGTTGGGTGGGACAAAAAGACGTGAAGTGGACTTGGCTCGAGGAATCTACGAGAAAGGGAGGAATGTAATGTTTTTTTTGGCTGAACAACGCGAACACTAGTGATGCACAGATATTGACCTACTGAGAAAGCAGGCCACAGACAAAAGAAGACTAGGATAAACACAGCATGCTCAAACTGGTGGTGTGTTTGTCTATATACGGAGAGTAATGCTTTCCTGTCAATCAGATTGGACAGCTAGTCATTAGCTTAAGAAAACAGACGTATAACATTCACTCTGTCAATATGGTCAAGTAGGGAGTGAACAAACGAGCATCAGTGACCGATTGGCTTCTACAGAACATTGTTATTAGTTGGTGGTGGTTTCTGGACTTGTAGAATGTACACTTAGAGGATCCTCATTCGAAGAATGATCCTACTGTGCTGGCGCACTCATTCCGGTGAGTCCACGCCAAATAGGGGAAGCACTGGACTCGAGTTTTGCTCTCATTAGAGCTCATCCGAAGTGCACATCATTCATCGTGCAGGGGTTTGAACGTCGCGAGTATGTTACCACTACTCCACCAGAATGAGTGCGCCAGGACAGGAGGACGATTGTTCAAACGAGAGTTCTGTGATTGTGCGTACATTCACTGCCGTAACCAAGGAAACTGTTAACACTAGAACGGTTAGAAAAAATCCGACTCCCTTGTTACTATTGCGGCCAGATTAGACGCCATGACTGTGTGGCAATACACTATAATCACAATATCAAATTCTTCGGTTGGTTAAGATTGTACAACACAGGCTTTAGTGGAAAGTTCACATGAAGAGTTAGCACGATGGTGAAAAAGGATTAGCCGTCCACGGTGTTCACAATGGGTTCAAAAAAATGACATTCTGGTGGTTGGCTTATTCGCTGAGCTGGACAATTTGACTACAAATGTTTTATCACCAACTAAGGTGACATCATCAGTGAGCTGTTAGGGAGCCTAGTGGTGCATAGCGATAGGCTGGTAGCTGTGCCAACTCTAACAACGCACTGATGATGAAACGTTTGTAGTCAAGTCGCCCAGTTCAGGGAACAAACCAGTGACCGTGTACTCTACCTGAGCTACCAACACTTTCCTCTATAACGACATTCTATTGTACTACTAACAGTCGTTCAGCTGTGATACCAGTTCGGTACGGCGTCCATGGAAGCCAAGATACTGTCAGGTTGCCAAAACCTAGAAAGAGTTGGGTTCGAATCACGAGTTTTCAAATCAGTTGCTAAGCCATCTTGAGCTTAATAGGAAAACCCAGGCAGAACTCATCAGGATTCGAACCGAATGGCTGAATCTGTTGACTAAAGTGATGACCGCCAAAGCAGCGGGGCCACTGAGCACAGTCATACTGCTGCAAACTCCGGGTTTGCCGCCGAACCTTTGCATCGATCACACCATAAAACGGTATAAGCAACAACGAATACACCTGCTACATGAACTATGAGTGTTCTTACTAAAAATCTATTCTGGCAAACGAAACCCACAAGATATTTCCATAAAATAGCCGACTTGGAATGGTGTGTCAGACAGAGACGTGAAAGATGCCTCTTCAGATATGAAATAAAGACAGTTAGGCTTTTTGGGCTATCGAATATTTTTGGCCCCACGTGTGCTATATGCTGGCTAAAGTTGTCCCAAAGAGATTCGAAAAACCAGATACCTCTTTCCTATGGGCAGTTCCTCTGGGCATAAAGGTACTCTAAATAAGAGGGAATACACCACCAACCCATGACAACGTCTCAAATCATGCGACTGCTAAGTCCCTACAATGCATTGATCATCTGCGGTCGGAACGCCGCCGGGTCTGTATACGAACAACGAGAGGTTCAGAAACAGGATGAAACTAACGGGGAAGTTGCACTTTAATTTCTATGCCACTAAGCCTTGAGGCTTCTACGTAATGTTGAACCACGTCGAAGGGAAAATTACAAACCAACAGTGCCTTCGAAAATTTGTCTCTCCAGTCTTCAGATACACTGCACCCGGTGCATGGGGCATTTCTGTGGGAGGCCAATCGACATACGGCACATGCAATCAAGTGGATAACTCGAATTCCACTTTCTCACAGTATTCCTTTGAGAATTAGTAAATTGCTCAACAACAGGTACTAAGGGGAGAATACTGCCGTCGAGGACTTAACAACCTGTTAAACCTCTCTACTCTCACAAAAACAAAAACAAAAATGTCACAGCATCAACAAATTCGTATGTGTGTGTGTTGCCAAGTGAGAAGAGTGGAGATTACAGCAGAATTAACCGAAGCTGACTGTGTTGACTCACAGAGAGGAACTTGTCTGGGTGGATGGAGAATACGTGGAAGGTATTCCTTCCGGCGGTGGCCAGTAACTCAGCTTTAGAATTCACAGCAAGAGAGTTCAAAGCCCCGTCGGTTGCGTAGATCACAGTGCCTTTTCCGAAAGTGCGTGATCTGCCCAAACGGTCCGACATGACAGAACTACAACAGGAGATCAGATGCACAGAAATCCACGAGACTGAATGTATCACAAAAATGATCATAATGCTGCAGAGGAAAAACTGTATGCGTACCGCGGTCGATTTGGAGTCGATGCTCGCCGCACAGACAGCGGAGATCGACTTCTTCAGTTGTATGCTGATCATGAACTGTTTCTGGCAAGTACGAACTTTCAACATAAACGTTCGCACCGCGGTCACTAACTGTAAATCAACCATGGACCCAGTTGCACCATGTGGCCATCAGCCACCGGTGCAGAGCCACCATTCAAGACTGCCGTTCCTTCTGGGTCACACCACTTGATTCCGATCACGCCACGGTGCGCGCATGCCTGACAGTTCGTTTCCCTTCAGGCCCTCGCAAGTCGGCAAGAAACGCGCCAATGCACTATCTTCGAAGAACTGCCATAGCTCAACAATCTGAGCTAGCTCAACAACTCTCCACAGTAAACCAATACTGTGGTGGCAGTGAGCATGTGGATGAAGCGTGGTAAAATGTGAAAACAGTTATGTTACCGGTGTTTACTGCTGTCTGTCGGAGTTTTCCGATTCGACCACCAGATCACGGATGTCGTCGAGATCACTATCCATGATTGATGCCGGAAAAGCCATACCAGAAGGCAACGAGTACGACAGTGCACGCAAATCCCTCAAACACCAAAGAGTGAATAGCTCTGATGGAAACCGAAAGCTCGGGAGATGGAGAAGGCATTTGCTAAGGGAAACAGCCATGCCCTTTATATCAACTGATATGATCGACTGGCCCAAGGAAAGCAACGGTCAGCGAAACGATAAGTGAAAAAGACGGCTCATCAATTAACTCGCGAAAACTTCAACTGGAAAGATGGGCCGAACACTTCGAAGAGCAGTTCAGCTGGAATCCGGCAATACAGCCTGTGGAAATATTGCATACGGGTGAATGGAATGTAAACCTTGATCGTTCGTCGGAAGAAGAAATAAGGTACAAAATATCCTTACTGAAACGTGAGAAGGCACTAGGACTGGACGGTCTGTGTCTACTCCTCTTCAAATAAGGCGGAAAATTCATGGTAATCCACCTGACAAAGCTTATCGGTGCTATATGAAGCGAAGAGAAGGTGCCTACAGAATGGGGCAGGTCGACAATTACCCCTATCTTCAAAACGGGTACAAGGACGCCGTGTGAAAACAATCGTGGCATCAGTCTGTTAGCTATGGCATCAAAGGTGCTCTCTGGCTCAATCCTTCGAAGGTTGACTGAACACAGGAAGAGACGGATTCGTGAAAACCAGGCTGGGTTCCGTCCTGCAAGAGGTTGCATCGATCATACCTTCATCCTCCGATAGATTCTGAAACAGCGACACTGCTTCCAGCAACCAACAATGTTTGTGTTCCTTGATATGAAAGCTGTCTTTGACTCTGTGGACCGTCAGGCACTATGGCAGTGTCTGCGAAGTAAAGGTGTCCCTCATAAATTCTTGACCGTCCTTGGGGCGCTGTACACCAACTCCCGCAGCCGTGTGAAGGTCTATGGTAAGCTCTCGCCTGAGTTCACCACATCAAGTGGTGTCCAACAGGGCTGTCCTCATTCACCTTTCCTCTTCAACTTCATCATTGATACTATCATGCAAGACTCACTGCCAGCCTCTAATGCCCGTGGGGTCGAAGTGCTCCCGCGGCCTCCGCTCACAGATATCGAGTACGCAGACGACATAGCTCTTCTGGGATCTAACCCCGTGGTAATGCAAACAATAGTAAATAATCTAAATAATTCTGCCTCGCGGTTCGGCGTGCACTTCACACCTGTAAGGTGTAAAGTGCTACTGCAAGGTTGGGTGGGCTCGAACCCTATCCTCATGCTTGTGGATGAACCGATTGAGGTAGTAAACAAATTTGTTTACCTGGGCAGCTGTATCAGTCCCGGTGGTCTCGCGAAAGATGAAATTTCCATCCGGATTGAGAAGGTCAGAGCAGCTTTTGCGAACCTGCGTCATCTGTGGTGTAGGCGTGGTATCAGCTTCTCTGTCAAGGGTCGCGTTTACAATGCTGCGGTGCGCTCCATATTACTATACGAATCAGAAACCTAGCAGCTGCGCGCCAAGCACGTCAAAAGACTTTCAGTGTTTGACCAGCGACGTATTCGGAGAATTGCCCGAATCTGGTGGGAACACCGGATCATCAATGCTGAAGTACCCCGAATGGTATTCCGGAGAGACAACTCACCCTCGGTAGATGAAGTGATCACACTGCACAGGTTGCGCTGGCTTGGCCACGTGCTGCGTATTCCAGTCGACCGACTTCCTCGGAGGGCTCTTTTCGCACAACCACGTGAAGGATAGAAGAGAGCAAGAGGTGGTCAAACAATGACTTGGCAGCGAAGTATAAAAGCCATTACCTGCAAACTCCGCTGCGCTGGCCATTGCCGTCTTCCCGGATGGGGACCCCGGAACGGGCCACATCAATGGTTAGAGAAATTGTCAGGCATGTCCCAATTGCGTCCTCAATGGCGCTCAAGCCATTGTCTTCAATGCATAACTCTCCTATTCCCCCGATTAACAGTCCACCTACAGTGCTGTATTTACGCACTAATTTATCAGCTAACGCCTCCTATGCGCAGCTACCTACCCCACCTCCCGAATCATCGATGAACGAAACTGTAACAGCTACAATCACTGTACGACATGTACGCAGTTATTACAGCTGACAATGATGATGATGTATGCGTACTGAAAAAGTGCACCTTCTGGGGAAATAGGGCGCACATATGCTGCACTGTTTTCAGTTAAGAGAGGAAAGAAGCAGTGTAAGTGACCAGATTTTACATACCGGTTAAGGCACCAAGAGGGCTGTAGCGATCAAAAGATTCATCCGAACGCAGCCCTTGTGAAAAAGATATTAAGAAACGGGCATGAGTACCGGTCACTGACGTCTGATATTGTGATAGTTCAGTTCACTTCAGCTTATCAGCTCACAAACCATGCATCGAAATGCAGTGGTTCAAGCTGCCAAAGCTTCGTTCACATAGGAAAAGGAGAACGAGGAAGTGACAGCAACGCAGTGGAGTGGATGGCCCATCGATGATAAATGGATCTGTTTGTCCAGTATGGCGGGAAGTCATAGTTACGCAATAGTGATGTCTTTGATGCAAGACTGTCATTAGCTGCGTGACGAAATTATATCCATCAGGATCACCAACTACTGGTTTATCTCGTCCCGCGACATTTAACAACGCGTGAGTTAACTGCTAAGGAATCATGCTTCGTTGTCCAGTTATGAACTGACCACTCTTGGGTGGTCTCCATCCGACGAAAAATGGGGCGAAGAGGGTACTACGAGGCAAACGATCCTCTGTATCAGGAAGGTCAGATTCCTGAAAGTAACCTCAGAACACCCGGGACCTACTGAGATCCTGAAACTCCACAAAATCTCAACAGGGAAGCCAGCAAGCATACAGGCCAGTCAATCATTCAATCTATTCAATAAAGACCGATGAGCGTTCAGACACGCCACAGATGCACGACGAACTATGATCAGCGTTCAGGCATTTAACAGAAGCACAATCGATGTTGGTGGGTGTTCACTAAACCCCTATTAGGTAGCCTGGATCGACGTCAAAAAGAGCCTTTTAAATAGCGCGGGGTGGTTGTAATGTTTGTACCCGCACGCAATCGCTTGTTGCAATAAAGCTGTTGTGCTCCTTGCCGTCGAGTTCTTTTTCTGGCACCAGGTACTGAAGCTGGAACAGCAGTCAGATATACCACTGATATACGAAGTGTATGGTCTTGCCAGTTTATCCACAGAGAGGGAGAGAGAGATTAGAATTTCTCCATCGATGTAACACAGGCCAGGGCGAACTTCGCTTGATTCTTGCGAACCAGACTTTCTCAGAGATAGATCGACCTCAGCAGGCCAACACCGGAGAGCACATTGGAAGCTGTGGCCACTAGAGTGATGTTCCGGTGTTTTTGGATGTTTTTGTGCCCTTTTTGAATATAGGAACCACCATCTATGTGCTCCATCCTGTTACAAGTTCACCATCCCAAACATTTTTTGAATATGGCTGTTAGGTTGGCCACGTAGAAATCATCGGCTTCTTTAACGAGTGCAAGATATATACCATCTGAACCAGGTTCTTCGTTGCCCTGAAGCAATGGAACTGCATACTGGACTTCTTTTGTCGACGGCGAACTGACGTCAACATCCCAATCGGGTTCATTTGGTCGTTCTAGCGGATGAGTTGGTGGAGGGAAGCTGAACTGTTCTTAGAAGTGTTAAGCCGATCGAGCAGGACCTTCTTGGAGATAGCTTCACTAACACCCGGCCCTTCCTGGATAAGTTGATCGGATAAGCTGGGACAGGATGTGATTTTTCCTCGTTGCAAAAGCTTCCTTCATTTTCTGGGTCTCGCGATCCACCAGTGCCCTCTGTCGATTCCTAGTCTTTCCAGTATTCGGCGTTTGAGAGATCTTCACGTGCTCCAAGATTCGTTTTTTTGCTGATATAGTTTTTCCGGATTCAGTTAGAGCTACCGATTGTGACGAGATCCAGTGTCCATTAAGGTATTCGCGAGACCTCGAGCAGACAGTACCAACCGTTACGAAAAGACTGGATCTTATCGCGGTGTGACAATTTGTGCTGCTGTGACCTACTTGGAGGTATTCGTGCGACACTCGCAGTCTCTCATACCACGTTGATAAATGGTTAGAGGTTTGACCAACACATTCTCCTGGTACTCCAGGTTGCGAGAGGCGAGTGCTTCCAGGTCGAAATTAGAAGACAAAATAGAATGGCGTATTATACGCTTTAATCATCTAAAAAAGGTGGTGCATGAGCTGAAAATATATAAATGTATAGGTGATAAAATTAACAGTTCATAATGTAGGAAAACTATGGTTTACATGATCATGACATTCTCCCCACTTTAGAATAAGTGTGCACTTTAGCCGCGAACGAGTGTTAGAAAACAAGAGCTGTTGTGGTCACTAGGAGTCGTTTACGTTTCTTTGTTGCGTGAATTGCATAAGTGAGTGCGCTGTTGTCGTATGAGAATGTCCAAGTGATTTCCTGAATATGAACTAGAATTGGATGATGAGGCATCGTTACTAGGCAAGATTTCTGTTTCTGAACAATCACGGTGATGTTTGACGAGATTCCTCTTGTTCGGCGATATGCACTGGTTCCAGTTGTGTGTCGGATGTCATGCTGTTGCCTTTAGGAGCCAAGCGATAGGAGGATAAGGTTTCGTGTTTGCCATCTGGACTAGATGAGCATACTGCGGATTACAAAAAACGACCTCCACTTCCTCTACCACAGGGTCATTTTTGGAGACTCAGTCGTCGCGTTTTAAAAGGATCGGTTAGGGAGAATAAGCCAAGTAGGTAGGGAGACACAGTTGGCTGATCGTCATGCGAACGGAAGGAAACGTGCATATGGCGGTACAGTACATAACAGGGACCTGATACAGTGGAGAGTATCAAGAAGGACAACTTCCCAATACGTGACAAACAAGCCTCGTGAGTTTAGAGCAACGCAGTCTTCCGAAAGGCAACGTTAAGTCGTTCCGTTTGCCCATTACTTGCATATTATACACAGTGATGTGACTAGTAGCAACGCCTTTATCGAACAAAAACCGTTTGAGTTCATTTGACGTGGAAGCTAGAACCGCGATCTGCGTGAATATAAACAGGCATACCAAACAATGAAAACAGATGACTCAAAGAATCACAGTGGAAGGGGACAAATCGGCGTAAGGAAAAGCAAAAGGGAATGGGGAGTTCTCGTCAACGATTGTTAAGAGGCACTTGTTGCGAGTGTTTAAGGGAAGTGTGTCTTTAAGGCGTTTGAAGGGTTGTGTGGCTTTGATAAGCTGGTCACGAAGTCAGAAAATTTTGGTTTGAGTTCAGAGCATGTGAAACAATCAGAGACCACATGTCGGATATCATTGGCAGAAAAAAGGAGGGATGAACAGGGGCGAGATGGTTCGGCGAATTTACTGACCGGAAGGTCTGTGGTTCGAAACCGGCCTCTGCATATCGACTTCCCCTGTCTAGGATTGCGCAACCTGGCAGTATCCCAGCCCTTGAGCTTAATCCGAAAGGCGTGAAAGCTGGGCACCGAAAATGTGTACAGCTGAACGGTCATTAGTTACGAAGAGACCAGACCTTACCGTGATGTGACGGTTTGCTCATCTCAGCGACCCACTGAGCTATACTGAGGGTGTGCCCGCGACACTCACAGAATCACTCATACCAGGTTGGTCAACGGCTAGAGGTCTGACGAACACAGTCTCCTGGTCATCCAGGTTGGAAGTTGGAACATGTGGTGATCTCTTCCGTAGAACTCGTAACGCATTTGCATTTCCCTTCAAACATCGCTGCCTTGTAGTTAGACGTTCGAGCCAAAGGCCTTGTTTGAGGACCTTACCTTGACAGTGTCCCAGCCCACATACAACCATGATACCTACGTCCAACAATAAACTCATGCCAAATCAGCCGTCGCGTGGTGCCATTAGCCGGGTCACTTTACTCGCTACATACAGCCGGATAGCCTTACTCGTTGCATACAGCCGGGAGAGTAAGCGAAAGTAGTCTACCGCTGACGCCTCCCATCTTTCTTTCACATACTTTTACTTCCCCTCTCCCCACCCCATTAATAACTCTCTGGTGGAGGCCCAGCACTTAGGACTGATGACTCTGTTGGTATTGCGTTGGTTTTGCGTGCAACAGCTGCTTGTCACATGGCGCCGACATTCTCAGGTATCTCGATATCAATCTTCAACAATCGACGCCCAGTCTATCTGGCAGCCTTCAATGTCCGCACTGTAAAGCAAGCAGGAAAACAAGCTGCTCTTGCTCACACACTCGAATCGTTTGGCAATGATGTCGTGTCTTAGAAACAAGAATTCAAGATGCAAGCACAGTGGTTAAGATAATTGGCCTATCACTCTCCACTCGCTTCCGGCTACGCACCTATGGTGATCCAGCGGCTGCTGTGTGCAGGGATGTGCAGGGCTTGGTATCGTCCCAAGTCACCGGGCGGAAGTATCCTTGCCTGACTGGATACCTGTTGATAGTCGCCTCTGTGCGGTCATCCGAAAGGCGTGAAAGCTGGGCACCGAAAATGTGTACAGCTGAACGGTCATTAGTTACGAAGAGACCAGACCTTACCGTGATGTGACGGTTTGCTCATCTCAGCGACCCACTGAGCTATACTGAGGGTGTGCCCGCGACACTCACAGAATCACTCATACCAGGTTGGTCAACGGCTAGAGGTCTGACGAACACAGTCTCCTGGTCATCCAGGTTGGAAGTTGGAACATGTGGTGATCTCTTCCGTAGAACTCGTAACGCATTTGCATTTCCCTTCAAACATCGCTGCCTTGTAGTTAGACGTTCGAGCCAAAGGCCTTGTTTGAGGACCTTACCTTGACAGTGTCCCAGCCCACATACAACCATGATAC